TGCGCTCGGACCGCTGCAAACACAGGATACAAACCATATATGGCATTTCACCGTAACAAGCCTAGTGTAAAAGCTCCGTTGTTTCTCATTTATTTATTTGTCATTTCTAAGGGTGGTTCCCTGCCGATTTGTTCGTTCTGGATTAGTAAACCAAATGGTGAAGCTGCGGGTTAGAATTGGTCTGAACTTCTGAAATCTTAAAAGAGGAGTCGATTCCTGTTAATGGAATCGATTCCTAGCTTTGGAATCGACTCTATATTCCTAACGCCTCGGATCGAGGAATCGATTCTTTTTGGGATCGAGGAATCAATTCTTTAGAATCGATTCCCAGCCCTACTGTTTACGTGTGAGTTTTACGCCATAAAGAAGCATCGCGTTTAAGGAACGCAAATCATTGTACAGAAACTATTTATATCGATCACAATTAGTATCCGGATAGCGTAAATGCTCGACATTCAACGATTGAAGCGATGCGAAGTTCAATCAGGGACGCGAAAGTTTTCAGCTAAGCACTCACAGAGTTGACCCGGCAGATGTTTGAGAGTGTGGATCAGCCGGGACTGGATCTGCAGCGTGGCTTAACTTACTTACTGCCTGTTGCGACGGCCGACGCTGGAGGAATGTCCATTCCTTTGCGTTAAGATGGCAGCATTGCCTTGTCCATATCTCTATGGCAGGAATTATTGAATGGTCCGGTTTAAAGATACCGCGGAAGTAGATTGCGGATGTTTCGCCCGGGGTGGCGATGACCCGTTTGTTTGGCCTGACGCCCATGGGATGATACCGGGTTGCGGAAAAGATTCCTAATTCTGGACGAAAGATTCTCTATCGAAAACAGGAAGAGCTAGATTCGGACATGGCCAAATGCTGCAAACTGCCAATGGATCGAGGTAAGACTGCTGAGTCTATATATACCCTCTTATCATTGGTTGCTGATTGCTGATTGCCGTCCACTCGTGTTAATTATCTGAACGTGCTCCTCCCGAACTTAGTTATTAACAAAACTTCATTTAATCATTATCTCGGAAGTGGCTAGCGGCTTTGACGTTGAAGAATCCGCTCAAAAGACTGTTTGTTTGTTCTTATCACTTCATTGGTTCTTTAGTTGGGATGAGCAAACCTCCCCAGCAAAACAGAACAGAAACACAAGTGACACGCAATCGGATGGTAAGTGTATCTTGATATTTTATGGTTAGCAAAAGTTTGCAGCATAAGTTCGACTGTTGATATGTGTCTCTGTCCTGGGGGTATATACGTTACATTTATAGTTTATGCTGTTTGTCTTTTAGAAGTGTGCATCGAGCCGAAGTTTAAAGATGCTGCAACACAATGGGAGGACCTAACAAAAACTGACCACAGCTATGCGGCAAAGTTGGACCATATGGACAAATCGACGCATGCTCTGGGTCAGACTGTGGCTGATATGCTCCTGGATGATGATGCCTCACGGCTGTAGACTGCGTCTATAGGCTAATATTTTTTTTACTTTAGTGAAAACGATGTTGCCATTCGTTTTCGCAACAAGTATTCCTGTTCCCATACTGAAACTGAACCTTGTAGGGGATGTGGCAAAGCACTTTAAAGTGTCTAAATGTGTAGCAAGTAAGGTGATTGCTCACTTTAAATGTATTGTTATTGTACCCTTTCTGGTGTTATGATTATTGATAAGCCAAAACAGAGTTTTAACTAAGAAAAACTTGTGAGTGTTATTCTTTTTCTTACATTGTAAATATTGACACATGACAATAAACAATTTGTTTTTTGAGAAGAAATGGATTAATTTTTATTAATCCTTTTTTCATAACAAATGGACAATTTGAGTAGATTATTTCTGCTGTGTCTTCGGAAAGACACATCTCTGATTTTTTTGCTGCCCAGTATTGCTTTTTGTCCCGGCATTCAGCAATTCTGCACATCAGTCTTCCCTTGACAGCATTTTCTACCTGCAGACAGATAAAATAAAATGGTTTTCAAATAATGGTTAATGGTTTTTAAAAAATGGTTTTGAGCATCACAGCACAATTGACTTCTTTTAGAAACAACATTTTGTAAATCAAAATAACAAGGGTATGATGAAGGTAGAGTGTTTTTGTTACTTTTCAAATCAATTAATGATCTGGGCCTGCAGCCATCAACATCAATGTTTTACAAATGTTTAACATCAATTGTATGTTTAATACAATTAAATATTAAATAAATAGATAACATTTAATAAAGTGATAAGTGAGTAATATAAAAATGAGTAAAAGCAAATAGATAATATAGATAAATAAAATAAATCAGTTTGATAAAAATAAATAAAATAAACAAAAGCCAGAAAGGGTTTGTTGCAAATTTGCCTATTTCATAGGCGGATTACACAGTTTTCTTTTTTTTTGTTGGTCTGTTTAAAAGAATCGTTCCTAGTGTTTGTTTTATTTTGGTTCACACACCAACCGCATTATATATCATTACATAGGCTGAAGTAACATTTCTCTGTTTTGCGGTAAAATGCTATAAATTTGCAATCAAATATCATTCGCGGCTTATTATTCGCGGAAGTCAACACAGTCTACTCGTTATTACGCAGACGAATGTCAGCTTTTTCATAGAAAAAAAGTAAGTTAATACCTTTATGCATTCCGACGCTATTAATAGATATGTCAGGGGTGCGCGCTCTAGAGCGTCAGTCGACTTAAGGGTTAAAGCATGCTTTTCGTGCAGGCAGGCTAGAGGATAACTTTTTACTCTTCGTGTTCTGTTATAGATAAACACACTGATACATACAAACATCTTAATACAAGCATAAAATGGGCTAACGTACCTTCCAAAGCACAACGGCTGCATGGGTACAGGAACGTCCAGATCCGGCGAATCGGCGATACAGGTACACATCTTCCGTCTTGGTAACCAAACCCAGGCGTTAGGCGCTGAATTGTTAACGGACTGGCTTGATTGAACATCGGCCTTTAGGTAAATTAAACTGTCCAAGTGTAAAAGTACACAGCCCACTTTGACGGAATGGAGGTACTGAAACGCCTCTGAGCCGTTCAGGTTATTAAATGCATTCCCGTCCACCGCCATGGAATCAATAAAATAAGAAAAGATCTTAGATGTTGTGATGCTGGGCCATATCGACATGTTGTCCGCCCACAATGTTACCTTACTCGGATTCGGAATGGTCAAAACACCATTTTTAAACAAGATTTTCGGTCGAATATTGCCATTCCAAAGCCGTGTTTACACCACTACTCAGCCTGCGCCGGATGTTCTTGGCAGAAACAGGAAGTAAACCGGAAGTGCCCGGGAAACTTGTCTATAGTGTCGAACGCAGCGCTAAGATCAAGTAGGACTAGTATTGAGATACAGCCTTGGTCAGAAGCTAAAAGTAAATCATTTGTAATTTTAACTAGCGCAGTTTCTGTACTATGATGCGGTCTAAATCCTGACTGGAATTTTTCATAGATATCATTTTCTTGCAAAAAAGAGCACAATTGAGCGGACACTACTTTTTTAAGTATTTTGGACATAAATGGAAGATTTGAAATGGGTCTGTAATTTGCCAAGTTATTTGGATCTAATTGCGGTTTCTTAATGAGCGGTTTTATTACAGCCAGCTTGTATATTTTTGGGACATGACCTAAAGATAAAGACGAGTTAATAATATTGAGGAGAGGCTCTTCCACTGCAGGTAATAGTTCTTTCAGTAGTTTAGTGGGTATTGGATCTAATAAACATGTTGTTGGTTTAGATGCAATGATAAGTTTATTTAGCTCCTCCTGTCCTATCGTTGTAAAGCGGTGTAGTTGTTCTAGAGGGGCCATAATTGAAGCTGAATCATAAGACACCATAGCAGATTGTACATTTATAATTTTGTTTCGGATGCTTTCTATTTTCGCATTGAAGTAATTCATAAAATCATTACTACTAAACTGTAACGGTATATTTTGCTCTGGTGATGTCTGTTTATTTGTTAGTCTCGCCACGGTGTTAAATAAAAACCTTGGATTATTTTGGTTATTTTCGATTAGTTTGCGGAGTTAGTTTACTTTCCACGCGATTCTAAAGACCTCTAAATTAGTTTGTTTCCATTTACGCTCTAAGTTGCGAGTTTCTCTCTTGATAGCATGCGTAGCACTGTTGTACCATGGTGCTTTAATTTTCTCTCGAACCTTTTTTAATCTAATTGGAGCAACAATATCTAATGTACTAGTAAGAATGGTGCTTAAACTGCTAGTCATTTCCTCTAATTAATCTGTTTGTTTGGGTTCACTTTGCAGCTTAGATAGATCAGGGGGGTATTGCACAAAAGCAAGATAAGGGATTAAGCTGGGATTTTCCAGTTATCCTGGCTGAATTTAGCCCTGACTCGGTTGCACAAATGGAGGCTAAATTAATCTTCATTAAGTTACTATGGAGATTTACACTTTGCAGCTAGCCTGCTCTAGAGCAGGCTAACAACCAGGCTAAGATTAATCCTGGTAATTTATCGGCTAGTTCCTCCCTAAATCCTACTAGATATAAATGTTTTAGTTACTTCATGGTCCTGCATTAAAATAGTAGATATGCTGTCATTCATCTAAGTATGCGTACTGCTATTTAAGTTATTCTTAAAAACTGCTGTTCATTTCACTGTCTGAGGTTTGATTAATATATATATATATATATATATATATATATATATATATATATTGAGATTTAAAGTGTTTATTGGCATACACCTGCAGTGAGGAATGCAGATTTTCCTGAGCAATTATAACTTTGCTGTCCACATTAAATGCCAACACAATGCAAAAGAACTATACAATATGATAAATCGAATTCAGACTGTCTATCTATGCAATAGAGTAGAAATGTACAGTTGAATGAGAAAAAATATCAATATATTATAGGCTATTTTATTGCAGTTGATGAGATAATAAGAAATGGCTCATTAAGTTGTAAATGTGGTTTCAATTAAGTCTGTAATGAGGTCAATATGTAGTATATATAGACTAAAAAATGTGTTTTTCCTATTCACAATGGCTTGCCCTTTGTTGGATGATGTAGTTGATGAGGAAGTTTAAAAACTCAGACGAGCATTCAGGCATAAAAAGAGTCTTCCGAGATAGGGCAGACCCATTGGCATTTTCAGATGAATATCTGACTGAGAGGTACAGATTCTCAGGTGATGGCATCAGATATTTGTGTAGGCTGCTGGGTCCAAACATACAGCACAGGACGGCACGGAGTCATGCTCTCACTGTCCCACAGATGGTCTGTGTAGCACTGCGATTCTTTGCAAGTGGCATGTTTCTGTATTCTGTCGGTGATGCAGAAAACCTCAATAAAGCCACTATTTGCCGCACAATAAGAAATGTAAGTCTGGCATTGAAATCTCTTGTGCACATATTTATCACCTTCCCTGGTCACAGAAGATTCATCCACATCAAAGAGGAGTTCTACAAGATTGCAGGTAACACGAATAACAGATTACTACAAAATCTTACATTAACACAGTCACAGTATGACACTCATTATTTTGTGTTACAGCTTTTCCTAATGTAATTGGTACTGTGGATTGCACCCATATTCGTATCCAACGCCCCTCAGGGGCACATGAGGGAGATTATGTTAACAGGAAATCCTTCCACAGTGTCAATGTTCAGGTAAGAATGAGTTATGCTTACTGTTAGCTACATAATTATTTTGTGCATCAAATGACCTTAATAGGCTATATATATTTACAGATGATCTGTGATGCTGACTGCCTTATCACAAATTTAGAGGCAAAGTGGCCTGGCTCAGTCCATGACTCCAGAATCTTTCGGGCCAGTAGAATTTACCAGAGACTCTCTCGAGGTAAGCCACCCCATTTTATTTTTTTAAGAACCTTGAACATTACAGTGCTTGTAAGTTTACGTTTTGTATTTCATAGGCGAGTTCTCTGGTGTGCTCCTGGGGGACAAAGGCTATGCCTGTGAGACATTTCTGATGACTCCCCTTACAGACCCCCAAACCCCAGCACAGCAAGCTTACAACCATGCCCATGCCAAAACCAGGGCTCGAATTGAAATGACCTTCGGCCTCCTGAAATCACGATTTCAGTGCTTGCACCAGCTGAGGGTCTCCCCAGACAGAGCATGTGACGTGATCATGTGAGAGCATGTCAGAGCATGTGCCTGCACAGTGCTGCACAATATTGCCTGCCTAAGAAAAGAAAGGGCTCCCAGAGTTGCTTTGGATGTTGATTGGGACAATGCTGCCATATTCCCAGATAACAGAAATGGTAGACTTGTTAGAGAACAATACATTGCAAATTATTTCAGTTAATTTAGTTTTGATTTACCCCATCCCTTAATAAAGGATAATGTATGGCCTATATAACTTTCATGTGTACATGCATTTTATTTGGCATCAGTAACACACACTGTGGTTATCTTCCCAAATTCTAGTTCCACTTCACTGACTATAAAGTGTACTTGCCATTCATAAACGTTACAAGACCAGAATGGTTTTTAAATATTTTATTATTTTGGTTTTATCACTTGTCAGCTTGGAGCTTTGGAGAGAAAAAAAAATATGATGATTAATACATTGTGTTAGTCATGGTTACAGTATGAACTGAAGTCACTTACTTCTCTTTCTAGTTTCTGGATTTCCAGTTCTAGTTTCCTCATTGTCTTGCGTTTAATTTGCATCTCAAGGTCCATGTCCTGCAGCTTTCTTTTGTTCACATCAATCTTGACTTCTGACAGCTCAATCTGTGTCTTTAGATGCGTTGTGTAGAGATATCTGACAGTTTGTGAATTCTGTGAACACCTTTTAGTTAGCATAACAGAATTTTTGCATAATGTAAATGTACTTTAGGAAATACTCACTATGTTACCAGGCTGCTTATCAGGCTGCCCAATGTCAGGATCCTGTAACAAATGATATTTTCTATTAGTAACACTTCCCTGACTTCTTATCTATAATGAGCTTATAAAAATAATTTGTCTCTTTTCACAAAATACCTCAAGCCTTCTGGAGTCCAGCGACACGGTCTCCTCATCGGCAGAAGTGCAATCCACTGCGGCTTCCCTCTGCCATATTCAATACTTGTATTGATATTTTTGACAGGGCATGTAAAGCCTATCAGTTAATAAAGAGTACTCACCGGCAAATCATAGTCTGGTGGCTCCAAAAGTGTAAGGGTGCTACCAGCCGCTGGAAGGCAAGGCAAAGTCATACAGTCCACATAACAAAATATATATGGATTTCAATATTTTCCATGTGCAGTAGTATGGCAATAATGTACTTTGTATGAAGAGGCCAGTATCGCTTGCTGGGCCAGAGTCAGTGGATGTCCCTCCCTGGATCCCTTCAATCACTGGCTTCCCTTTATTTAAGTCCAGCGCCAGCTCCTCTGCTGGGGTGAAGTCTTGGGCTGGAGGGCCACCCCCCGTACCAGATATATGAGTTTTTTTTTTATTGCTAAAATCAGCACAGACAATAAAATATCAGCAATTATGTCACCTAGCAAACATGTCCTCCGTAGAAAAGTCACTTACCAGACTGCAAAATATTTTTATATTTAATCTTGACTTGCTGCCAAGTCCTTTTTTGGCCAGACATGTTTGTTCTTTAAAAGGAATAGATACAAATGATAAAATAAATTAGATGGATAAAAATAGAGCAAACTATCTGATTATAGATTACATCAAATCAATTAGAAACAAAACCTACTTATAAATAGATAAGAGTATAAAGATTAAAGAGATAATAGACATAAAAGAAACTAAATAGATATCAAATATACACATTGTGGGTAAGTGTTTGCAATTATTCTTCATGTTAAATGTATGTCCACTGGTCACATTTAAGGCAAAATATAATTTTTTTAAATAACTCCTTGAATTGTAATTATGGGGGTTACAGTGGAGCACTGGTTATTTATTTATGAACTACTTACGCGTTCAATCGGTCTGCTATTGTTTGCCAGGCATTCTCCCTTTGTTTTATAACAGCAGCTGTATTGCCTTTTTTACATATGATGTGTTTCACTTCTTCATAGGTTTCTATAAGAAGCTGTTGTTCATTATGTGAAAAGAATGCCGCACGGGTTTTGTCCATTTTTGAATCGGTGATTCTGTGATCGATTTCGCGCTCTTTTAAAGAATGCCGTGAACGCGCATTTATCCAAACTATATACAGCTGTCTTGACATATCCGCGCGTTCTCATCCTGGCTCAGCAAACGTGCAACAGATTAAGCTAGGATGCACTGATTAAGCTAGGTCAAACCGCGACTGTTCCGTTATCCTGGCTTTCTTAATTCTACTTTTGTGCAATACCCCCCAGGTAAGCTATTTGAGAATCCATCTATAGTGGTTGGAAGGATTGTTCTGCCTGGTCTATAACGTGGTGCAACATGACATATTTCATCAGTACGTATTATGCAAGTCACCATGTAATGATCAGTGACATCATCGCTTTGCGGTATAATATCTATATCAGTTGGATCGGTTCCATATGATATAATTAAATCTAGTGTTTAGAAAAAATAGCATTTGAAATGTTCCTATTTTTGTTTTAGGAGTTCCCAAAAACAGTTTAACGTGCATGCAAGGATAAACACTTTATTTGTCTTATAATATGCATTTATTTTTAACTCATTTGCTCACCGACTCCCAAATGATTCGTACAACGACTCATTTTTCCAAACCACTCCTTTGCGTGACGCTAATCGGCGGTGATTGGTCAGATGACCCAGTCAGTTATTGTTTGTTAGCATAACGCATAAACATATTGATAAAGCACTGCAGTACAAGACGCTCTATTCTTTATGACAACTCCAATAACAGCGACAAACATTTCACATATTTAAAAAAAAATTGACATTAGAGACCTAAGCTGCGCTGAGCGTAACTTACACACACACGCGCACACACATACTTATTGTGCCTTCCCTCCTCACGCCCCGACGCTACAAAACCATTCAAAACCCATAAAATCAACAATTATTAATAATACTTACAGGTTGTGATTCATAGGAGGAAGCTGGTCTATATATGCTGGGTAAGTAAGTTACTGAGCCCTCCTTCAGGAACAACCGCTTGTGAATCCACATTTGAATTCATTTATGTTTTCGAATGATTCGTCATTAAAATGAGAACACAATCGGGGTATACTGTTGTGGTATCGTTGCAAATATGAACTCTAACCACCGATTCTTCACATGCTCGTCCCTGGTAAATGAAAACAAAGTGGCTGAACTATCTTTGCATTGTAGAACACGGCGTCTTCTCGACATGATGCTATGATGAAGTATTTGAATGTGTAGACTTCAAGTTTACACTTCCGTCTGTGCGCGCTGTAACTGGGCTCGGCCAATGACCTCTTTACGTCACGATGTAACAGCTAATGACTCGTTTCAAAAACAATTCATTTCATACGCTCAGAGTCGACTCACACTTTTGAAAGACAATAACTTTATATATGGTGCACTTTCAGATATAAATCTTTGCAGGATGTTTTCATTCCCTTAGAGCTATATTCCACACCATATGAACAGTCATTTTCAAAAATCCATGATAGGGGCTCTTTAACCTTGGACTTTTTGTAGAAATGTCATAAATGCTGCTGTTATTTTCACTGCCCATTCTGTGCCCCCATATATTTCAAAGTTCAAAAACATCTCAAGGGACACTTCAACAGAGCAGTGCAACTGTCACAGTCTGTCGTCCTCACCAGTGTGTCCCGTCATCTGCACCACACTTCCCCGGATCCTTTTGTTTCTACTTCCGGACTCACTCCCCAATCAGCCACCTGTTCCTCGTCCTGTCATCATCATTCTCACCTGTTTGCACCTCATTATGTTTGATTCTTCTGTGTATTTAGTTCTCCCTCCTTCAGTCTGTCTTTGTCGGTCAATGTTGATTGTTACCCGGTGTATCCCGTCTTCCTGCCTGTATTTGTATCTAATTATTAGTAAATCTGTATATTGGAGCTTCTTGGACTCAGCCTGTTCTTCTGCCTGCACCCACACCCGTGACAGATTGACCGACCCAAAACTGCAAAAATGAACGCCATATGTTTCCAGGGGAGAATCTACCCGGTTCTGCGACCCCGGTTAATTCTCGTCACCAGGAAACCTGCGTTCACCGTCAACCCTGCAAAGCTCGAGCTCTCCTCTCCGCTGGTCCCGCCCAGCCTCGCCGAGCCCAAGCTCTCTCCTCCGCTGGTCCCGTCCAGCCTCGCCGAGCTCGAGCTCTCCTCTCCGCTGGTTCCGTCCAGCCTCGCCGAGCTCGAGCTGTCCTCTCCGCTGGCTCCGTCCAGCCTCGTGGAGGCCGAGCTCTCCTCTCCGCTGGCTCCATCCAGCCTCGCCGAGCCCGCGCTCTACTCTCCGCTGGTTCCGTCCAGCCCCGCCGAGCCCAAGCTCTTCTCTTCGCTGGTTCCGACCAGCCCCGTCCAGCCAGCGCCAGAGAGCGTCCAGCCTGCGCCAGAGAGCGTCCAGCCTGCGCCAGAGACCGTCCAGCCTGCGCCAGAGACCGTCCAGACCGTCCAGCCAGAGACCGTCCAGACCGTCCAGCCAGAGACCGTCCAGACCGTCCAGCCGGAGACCGTCCAGACCGTCCAGCCGGACACCGTCCAGACCGTCCAGCCAGAGACCAGGATCCCGCCCAGCCTCCCTCTCCCGCCTCCTCTCATCTGTCCTCCCTCTGCTCTCCTGCCCTTCAGCTCCCCGAAACCAGCCTGGTCCGTGTATCCCCGGTCTTCGCCTCACACCTCCTCCACATGGACACTCCCTCTGCCCTCTGTCCCATCGGCTCCCCCGTGGCTCCTACCTTCCTCAGCTCCTCCATGGCCCCTCAGTCCACCAGCTCGGCCAGGCTCCCTCGACCCTCCGGACTTCCTTCGCTCCCTCGTCATCCTCCCTTCACCTTGGGACTTCCTTCCTCTGGCTCCGCCCCGTCATGTCACCCCCCCCAGTTCTGTCGGACTCCTCACTCCCTCCAGTCACCCGTCAGCCCTCACTCCCTCTGACCTCACCGTGTCCCTCTGTGCCCCTGTCGTCACTTCCGTCACCTGAGCCTGCGGTGTCACCATGGTCCCTCGGTCCCTCCTCAGCACCATATGTCATCTGTCCCTCAGCTTCACCCTGGTCTCCTCTCCCATCTGC